GACCGCCGGCTGCTCATCACTGGCTCCCTCAACTGGACCACGCAAGCCATCCAGAGCAACCGGGAGAACGTGCTGGTGGTGGAGGACGCCGAGTACGTGAAGCCTTTCCTGGAGGAGTTCGAAAGGATCTGGGAAGAGTACAACCCCGTCAACTACAGATTTTTTACCCAAAGACAGTAAACGACTGAGCTGCCTCACGGGGCTGGTGGAGTGCATTGCAGGTAGCGTTCGTGCAGGGTCTAGACATCGCCGTGTGAGCCATCCCAGTGTAATTTAGGTAAGCTCCTCTGGAGAAGCAAAGTGCTTCCCACCCCACAAGTGCCACAGGTTCCTTGCTGTGGGTCCTTCCCCCCAAGAAGCAAAGTGCCACACATATCTTGCTGTGGGTCCTTCGTGCCACAGGTCCCTTGCTGTGGGTCCTTCCCCCCAAGAAGCAAATTGCTCCCCCCCCAAGGGCCACAGGTCCCTTGCTGTGGGTCCTTCCCCCCCCCCAAGCACCACAGGTCCCTTGCTGTGGGTCCTTCCCTCCCCACAGGGAGCAACCCGGCTGTCGGGAAGTTGTTGTGTGAGGATAGCCGTGCTAGGACTTCACGGCGCTGAGAACTACCGGCAGGCTCATTGCCGTGCCCTGGTGCTGCCATGGTGCATTCATATGGTGCTGGGGAGGTGTTTCAGCAGCAAAATGGACATCTTCCAGCTGGGGACATGCAGAATGGAATTGTAGCCCAACGGCTCCTCTGCATCAGCAACTCTAAAGGAAGAGTTACGAGGGCTACAGCAAAGCTAGAGTTTGTATAGAGCGATTAAGCGCCTTAGTTACATTTCGTGTTGGTGTTAACTGTTGGAAGTTTGTAAAAGGAAATTTGTGGGAAATACGAAGGCAGAAATTAGAAGTACGTTTTGATTGCACACGTTTCCTCTGGTTTAAGATTAGCAGAGCTCCAGCGTAAAAGCATGAGAACAGGTACTACTGACAGCTCGTCCTCCAGCAAGCAAGCGTGGGGAAGTCTGGAAGGGAATGAGAGAAGCTGGTTTTTGGCCTAGTCGGTCTTGTCTCGCAACCAGACATGGCTGGAGTTCAGTCACCGACTCCAGAGTGGGGCGGTGGAAGGAAACCCCGGTTGGTTCAGGTGGGGACACCAGGTCCTGGGCTGGTTTGGCTGCCAGCCTGTGCTGGCAGCAGCAGGGTGGGGGACAGCGAGCGAACAGCATGGGGTAGGGAAGGGCTCTGTCCCTGCAGCTCAGGGTGGAACAGAGGTGGGTGTAAACTTCGCCATTTCAAAACTCTAAATAGCATCTCTGTAAGAGTTACTTTATACTGCATATAGAGTGCCTCAAAATCTCTCTGAAAAAAGGTCTTCACATTGTATTACCGGTGTTGCTTGATGCAGTAGTGCTGTGATTGGCACGGTTAAATAAACCATTTTCACAGAAAAACTCAACATCAGCTCCTGGTTTTTGCACTCCAGGCATTCCTTGCGGGCTGGCTGTTTCAAAGAGCCAAATCATTAAAAATTCCTGTAGATCCTCAGGTGTTACTGGGGATACATGGAGCAACATCAACAGATTGCAGAGCTGTTCTGTTCTGTTTGAGGAAAGCGGCATGGGTCTGGGGGAAGAAGCATTACTGTTCTCTCTGGCACAGCAGCTACAGAAGCAGCTGAGGAAGGGCATTCTCTATTAAATCTCGTTCAGCAGCATGAGATTTACACTGCTTTAAACACGTTACTGCTATTAAAATGCCACCCGTTGCATATTCTTCATGAAGTGTGGCTAGAAGAGCAAACAGCTCGCTCGTTTTCAGGCTCTGGCCTCCGCTCCGTTCTTACTGTAGCAGCGT